CACACACACACACACACACACACAACCTTAAGGAACAAGCCTCTGATCCCCAAGAACAAACTCACTCAGACTCCAACTGTCATCTTCAGCACCCCACACACTTCCGGTAGCCTGGCCTCCACCTACCCCAGCATCCAGCAAGGGCAATGATGATGGAAATGGACCCCAGGCCTGGGGGTTGGGACCACATCCACCACTGTCCACATCACCACTGCAGGCCCACGTTACATCTATGCCTGAGCTAACGGTGTGTCCTTCATACATGTGCTGCAGACTACAGGTCCTGGAGGTTCTCAGCCACCTTAAGCCTTCACTAATGGGAAGTCTTCATGTTTATGATTTTAATCCTCAAAAAAAAAAAAAATACCTAGCTGAGCTGAGAAACCTTATTTCAATCATAAATACAGAATTGAAATACAGAAAAGTTAAACAGCCTGCCTTAAGGCACCATGCTACTGGTAATGGGGCAGATTAAAACCTGGGCCAGCTGATTCCAGAATCCCCCCCCCCCCGATTCCACAAGCTTGCTCTTAGCAACCCATGCAATACAACTGCAGTTCACTAAGCAAATCAACCAGGACAACAGGGTACTAAATTGAGACAATAAAGGAGACCCAGGGCTTCGGATCTTCCTATACCATCTACACAGAGGCCGGAGAAGGCTCCAGTACTCAAGTGCCAGTCTGCCCAGGCCTGCCTTGCTGATCACTATGGAAACAACCCCACTCCACGGCCACCAAGAATGTCCTTGTCGGGGGGTGTACTGATCAGACAAACCTCTGGCTTAGCCCTCAGCTCTGGCCTGCTACATTCTTTAGCAGATCTCGACAGATTCACTGCTACAAGGGGTGGAACCTGAATACTCCAGAATATCACACAAAGTACAACTTTAAATTGTCACAGTATCTACTAAGGAGAGCCATAGAGCTTAATTTCCAATCTGCATTATTCCCATGTGTGTTTCAACAGAGAAAGTATTGACTCGTGAACACAACAGGCAGTGCTGTTCTCACTGTTTACAAAGGCACGTAAAACTGGAAGATGTGGAGAGATGGTATCTTTAAATTCACCTGGACTCTCACTAGCATCATTTATAAGGTCAGACACCACATATGAGCATCCAGCTGAAGCGGACCACACAGTTTTAAGCAGCTCTTCCTTTTATAAGAGAGGCGTCCCCATCCAATTGTACATCAAGACTGAAGTTGGACTACTCTCTCCCGGGTTCTATGGAAGCTGATAACCTAGGAGACCTCAGGAGGGATGGGCGCCAGCCTGCACAGCACTGCGGCTTCCTCACGTTGCACCAGGACTGCAGGCTTGCATGTGGTCAATTATTTGTCCCCGATAGAGTCTACGGCCATAGCTCATTGTGACAGAAAGCCTGTTCTACTGAGAAGAAAAATCCTATGTCTCTTACTGGTACAGGTTTGTAATGTGTAGCACAGTGTGTACTACTGAAAAAGAACATGTGTTTTGCGAAGGGAAAACAATTGAAGATAACGTCAACTATTTGAAATGGGAACAAACAGGAACATGAAAATGTATCTTACAGGCAAAATAAATAATCACCCTTTCAACTTCCCGAACCTCCCTCCCCTTACCAACACGCTGGTGTGCTAGCTACCCTGGGCTCACGCTGGTCTCCAGGCTGCTGTCCTTCCCACAGACCTCACTAGCCATGCTTCTCTTCATCTATCTTCACCAAATTTCAACTCTCCCTACTCCTAAAACCTGACATGAGTTAAGGCTTTTCTTAAATAAACTTGTATTTCTGAAGTTTAAAAAAATAATAATAAAATCTATTTATTTTTATAAACAAGAAAAAATGTTATATAAGCTTCACATTTATTTGAGAATTAAGAATTTAAGAACTCTTTTATCTTTGACTTGGGGTTGTCCTCCAAGAGCCACAGAGGACACGGTTCTACCTCTGAGCCCTGTTCTTGAGCCGAATTCAGAAACCCTTGACAGTGCTCACACCAGTGTCTGGGTTTCCTGCAGGTGTCTATCACCCTGTCTAAGACAAATTCCTGACCTATGGAAGAAACACATACACACCCTGTCTTATAAATCCTGCTGCTCCAAATCACAGCTTTGCATGCTAACAACACCCCATTGCATGTGTAGACTCACGCAGTGAGATCAAGGAACAGTACAGAGATCTACACCAAGTTCAAGAGTAGAACTAGAGCAGCTCTCACAAGCAGCCAACTGCATGAGCACTCAACATTCAAGAGTCCAGAAGCGACACTACAAACCATAGCCTGGCAACTCTTGCAAGGGCTGTGGATCCTGAAGCCAGAGCACAAGGACAAACAATGTGGTCTAAGAAATCTCTAGGCTCAAGGAGGGGTGAACAAGCAAGTGGATAGAAGAATCTAGAAGTCACATCCAAATTATCTTCATCTGAGATTAAAAATTATGCTTTCAGGCCTGGCGGTGGTGGCATACACCTTTAATCCCAGCACTCGGGAGGCAGAGCCAAGGTGGATCTCTGTGAGTTCGGGGTCAGCCTGGTCTACAAAGCAAGATCCAGGACAGCCACCAAAACTACAAAGAGAAACCCTGTCTCAAAACAAACAACAACAACAACAACAAAAGCTTTCTTCTCATTATGAAGTTACTGAAAACACTTTCTGGAAGGCACCAGAACAGAGAACACAAACCTTGGGAATCTCATGCACTGTCTTGATAATCTCGCTAATTCACTGACTTTCCTTCATCAACATACACAAGCTAAAAAACAGAGAGAAGCAACCCTGCCCATCACCATGGCCCTGAACACACTTTCAGACTGCTCAAGGCCACAAGGGCTAGCTCATAGGAGTAGGTGATTTGGGATCCTGACATTTATACCTTATAATTTTTAATAGCTTCTATCTTCTGGAAGACTATCTGTCCAAGGCAGAAAATGCAAAGACTAGGCACAGAAGACAGAGGAGAGAACAGATATTATCCTGGATAACACTGTGGATGGAGAATGGCCTCTTCCTTGGCCAAAACTCTATTGCATATTTCCTGAGCAGAATGGAAGCAGTGTCTCCAGGGTCCTCAGCCTGAGTAGGAGAGTGGCTAACATGTATGCCTGCAGGACTACCTGTAGGGAGTAGGGGCTCTCAGATCCATGGCTTCATGCCAGGATGCCCAAGTGGCAGATGTTTACTACTCCCAGAAGACACTACTTTGAAGCCCAACCTCCCTCAGTAAAGCGAGCCTCTGGACACCTTTCTCAACAACATCCCTAGTTCCTCGTTCAGCACCTGGCACTTCACAGTAATGAACACACAATTATAATTAGCTGAATGAGTCAACAGTAAATGGGTGGAATGAATGGATGAGGTAAATAAAGTATGCTGCGCATAATTCTGGAAGCTACACTTCATGAAGAACATGATGGCGCTGGGGAAAGAGGAAGTGAAGCGTGCAGAGCCAAGAGCACAAGGGCAAGGCTGCTCAGCACACCGCACTTCCGCCAGGGCCCTGTGCACAGATGCCAAGCACAAGAAAGGCAAACAGGGATCTAATGTGCTGGTACCCATCTGTGACCCCAGGACCTGGACTGCCAAGAGCTGGAGACCAGCCTAGGCTACATGCTGGCCAAAACCCCCAGAGAAACCCACAAGGGTCTGCAAGCTCCTCCCAAACATGGCCAGTCTCTAGAGGCTGCCCCTACAGCAGGGACTAGAGCAAGCTGCTCATGAGGGCTGGCCTGGGGTGTCAGAACCACTTACCTGCCCTCCCACAATCACACCCCTTTTCTTAGCTGCAACCTGCTCAGCAAGGAGGCACATTCTGATGTCCCATGGGTGTCCACTAGGGTCTATGTGTCAGGTGAAACCTAGCAGAGGTTTCATCAGCAAATTCATCTCCATCTGTTCTGCCCCATGAGACCCACCTACTAGCTTCACTGTGTAGGAGCAGAAATCTTACATCTTCCTCAGCCCAGGCTGGGCGCTGGCAGTGAGGATCCTGGGTGGGACAGGAAGGCCTAGCCCCGGCTACGTAGTCATTGAGCTGCAGGCTGGGGGTGTGTTTTAACAATGCTTCTTGCGACAGTAATGATGCAGGCCAGTGGTTAAACACACGTGTACAGTAGGATGGGGATCAAAAACTGAAGCTTTCTTTTCACCCTATTCTCCCTCCCAATCTCAGGAGGGACCACTGTTAATGGAATCCCATGTATCTTTTCAAACACATGAATATGGGTTATTCTTCTAAAAAAAAACAAAAAACAAACAAACAAACTAAAAACTAAAAACAAAAAAGGAACAGGAGTCTATCAGCATTTGCACCCTGTATCCTTCCCAGTTGACCACAGGGCAGGAGGCTCATTCCCCCTAGCCCTCATGGTGGGATTCGCATGAAGTCATGAGGACTAAAGAGTTTCACTTTTCACTTGACTGGCTCACAAGGAAGGATGCTTTTGTGGTGCAGTGTGTTGGCATCACCAACTGTGAGTTTAAGCTCTTCCAACATATAACTAGAGCATAACCAGGAGCTGGCACCTGCAGGATTATAAAAGGAGGAAGGGATCCTGACCTCTGATCTGCCTTTCCGTACAAAGCAGTCTTCCCTCAGAAACGCTCTCACTGCCCCTTCATCGCTGAGACAGAATGAGACACTAACGTGGTCAGCAGCGGTGTCCCGCCCGCCCGTCTCCTGGCCCATTAGCAGGACTACTGAAATCAAGTGACATGGATGCATACTCTCCTCACCTTCCTGGGGAGATGCTGACAAGAAACGAAGAGGCCAAGCATGTGCTGTCAGGAAGGTCAGAAGTGGTCCCTGCAGCAGAAGCCGAAACATACAGTACCCTCACTTCATTAGGAGCACGAGGGGCTAGCCAGATGGCAGCAGCACTTGTGGCTCCATCCCTTCCTGCTCGAGGCTGTCATCAGATGGCCTGCCCCCGTGTGCTCCACTTGAACCACTATATCCCCTTTATCTCAGAAGTCAGGAGCCCAGGTCATCATCCTGTAAGCAGGCAGCTTGCTGCCCAGGCAAGCAACTCTCCCCTGTGGCTGCTCCCAATCTGAGAACCTTCCCAAAGAGTAGACATGTCTCCTAAGCATCCTTCTTAAGGTCACCACTTCACATGGTGTGAACACTGGCAAAATATGAAATCAATACACTCCATACAGAAATTCCAATCAACTCTACATGTATGCCAGGGCTAGTGTCATCTATATGACCAAAGACTGCAAGAAAACAGTGTTTTATAAACTAAAATCACCCAACACACAAAAATCCCCAAAGCACAGTACCTCGTCCAGCTCCTGTGGTTGTGGTGTTGCCGTCGGGCCGTCCGGGCAGGAAAAGCAGAAAGGCATGGGCAGACAGACACACAAGGCCATCAGGTGAGGAGACACGTATCAACACACTCAATGACTACAAAAGCAGCCCTTAAAAGGTTGCTCTGGAGTCTTCTTTCTTAGAAAAGGCTACACCAACATGTGTTTTTATTTACTGTAGTTCTTTTGGCAAAGGAGGTAATAAATCTATAAATAGTTGTAAAAATTAAAACACATTGCAAACAAAACATACTTGCTTTGTTTCACTTAAGTATAGTGGTAATTTTTATTCATAAAGATCAATTATCACTTGCAATATCACTTCTAAATTTCCTTAGTAAGATAAAATAAATGTTAAAATATAATGTTACTGTGTCATATAAATGCCTATTTTAACATTACAATCAGCTCAGTAAATGCAATGAAATAAAACATAAATAACCTACAAAACTGTCTACCAATGGCTGCATTCAAATAATATTGCAGCCACTCTACCTAAGTACTGTACAAATCAAACCCCATGGCCATGGCTCTATCCCCAGTGACGGAGACACCAATAGGAATAAGAAAAAACACTCCTGCATGTGCTGTGATTTGGCACAGCTATGCAGAGGGCTACACAGTCCTGCAAACCAAGGAGACAATGCAGACGGGAAAAGGACCCCCCTTAACCAGTGTTTAGAGGGGGCAAAGGGCACTCAAGGGTTAAATTTCAGTTGAAAGTTAAAGCTTCTTTTTTAGGCCAACGTGAAACTCTATCTTCTGAAGAGACAGTTATTAATGACAGATAATCTAAACAACAAGGTCCTTTTTTTTCCTACAGTATCGATCATGGAAATAATTAGTGGTGAATTTCAATAATCAACGGTGTTGATTTTTTATGTTTAGCAGTAAATTAAAAAAAATAAGTAACATAATTTTCTTATTTAAAGATTAGTAGTACAAATGAAGCTTGATTATTGATACCAAAATACTATCACACAATGCTAGCAAAAAAACTAAAAACAAAACCAAAAAACCATCAAAAACAACAACAAAATCCACACACAAAGTAATCCCACAACCCCTTTGCATAGAACTCTAAGGAGAGAGCCTCTTGGAGCTGAGAGCTGCTGCAATGGTGCAAAGATGCATCACACACACAGACGGCTGTGGTGGAGGCTCAAGGAGACCATGTCATGAAAACACCTCATTTCAGTTCACTGTGCTTTAAAAAGAAAACAAAATTTGTATTTTTAAAAAGCGTACAGATCCACGAAGAGAGAGCCTGGACATCTTGTGTCAGTATTTCAGAGGCAAGATGAAGGCTGCAGTGGAGCGAGAGCCCAGACCCCTTCGAGGGCCTCCCAGGGCTTCGTCTAGGGAAGCAGCACCATGAGCCACGTCTCCGCTGCCTGCCACCTGAGCCCGTGCCGCTGAGTTATCAGCCGGCTGCACACACCCTCTTCTTTTCATTCCTACAATTACTAGGCGCTAAGAGGTGAAAATACAATCATGAAGTTCTAGGATTAAAAGCAAATACTCAAAACACTTCAAAATGTCACAGTCACAGTATTTGACGATGGCGAGGATGGGGGCAGCTCAGCTACACCAAGCCTTTCCCCATGCCACCCTCCAGCCTCACTATTTTTATTAATCATTCCTGAAATTTTTTGCACATCAGGACTAAATTCAGAACACCACCTTTTCAAAGACCACCCTCATTCTACTTCTTAAAAATCAGGGTTTCAAAGCTCCTGCCACGAAATTACCAGGAAATTTAGTCATTTAGACCTGAGTTAAAACATAAGAATCACCATTAGGAGAGACCAAAAAAAAAAAAAAAAAGACACCTTAGTACTCATCACCACCTTCTAAAACCTTTATATCATATAAAATAAACCAAGGCTTGTGACCTGCCCATGGCATACAATCAAGCAAACATTGAAAAATTCCAAGTAGCATTTGGAATTTATAGTCTAAAGAACTTGCTACATGAAACTGAGAAGTGGAAACCCATCTGTGTTTGCTCAGGGGTCTGGAAGAGTTGAGCAGAGTGAGCTGGGAGCCCAGGTCTGCGCTATACTGATGTTTACTTCTTCCCTGTTGCTGCCAAAATGAAAGTTTGCTTCACTTTCATCCAACAAAGAACCCTCATTTGAAAGTCAGTCTCCCTGCTCAAATGGAACCTTCCTCCACACACAGAAAAGCAAATATATCTAAAGAGAAATATACAATGATTTCATACTTGGAGCCTACACAGAGACATAATTCTCAGGCTTCCATGAGCAAGTTAAAACTGACTGTGGACGGCTGTAAAAAGAAATAAAAAACCAGGCTAGCCTACTACAAAAGAAAAAAGATGTAGGGCTGGAGAGATGGCTCAGAGGTTAAGAGCACCGACTGCTCTTCCAGAGGTCCTGAGTTCAATTCCCAGCAACCACATGGTGGCTCACAACCATCTGTAATGAGATCTGGCGCCCTCTTCTGTATACATAATAAATAAATAAATCTTAAAAAAAAAAAAAAACTTCTTTAAAAAAAAAAAAAAAAAAAAAAAAAGTTGTAATTATGTAATTAAACAAGTCCTTCCACACCCACTGTGGCCCAGGTATTTACCCACAATCCCACATTCGTGAGGTGGGTGACAGGGTCAGTTCCTAACTCCTCTACCCATCACTCTTCATCTGAACCATGAGCACCAACTTCATCCAGGACAACACAAGGTCACACATGGAAAAGGCTCAGTCTTGCCAGGCACACAGTAAGCATTCATAAATCTTCACTAATACCACAGTCAAGACTCAGTAAGGACCTTAGGTACCTGTAATCACAATTAATTCTTAGGTCCCCTCCCCCCACAAAGCACACATTTTATTAAAAATAATGTGATAGTTTCAAACTAATCTAGGAGCACTGAACTCTATAGATTATAATCCATATATAGATTGTGCATGCTTTTCCAGCAGAGTCTAGATCAGGCAGTCGGCACTAACCAAGCGCTCCCACCCAGGTTCAGATTCATCTCAAGATCAAAGAAAACAACAGCCACACTGTAGCAGGAATTTTTTTTTTTGTTGTTTTTTGTTTTTTGTTTTTTGAGACAGGGTTTCTTTGTGTAGCTTTGCGTCTTTCCTGGAACTCACTTGGTAGACCAGGCTGGCCTCGAACTCACAGAGATCCGCCTGCCTCTGCCTCCCGAGTGCTGGGATTAAAGGCGTGCGCCACCACCGCCCGGCCTTGTAGCAGGAATTTTAAAAGTTCTTATTAATAAAATCAAACCTGAGCCAGGTATTGGGGTGAACTGGAAGATCAGAGAGCCAGAACAAGCCACAGCTACCTCACCTCGCCAATTCCTCAGCTGGTCTTGTTTCCTCAGACTGGAGGACTCTGAGTCCTCATCCAGAATGGGTCTCAGCTAAACTGCTGCTTAGAAGCCTGAAAGCTTAACCAGGCCAAATGCTTCTAGCTCCTGGTCTTCACGCCTTATATACCTTTGTGCTATCTGCCATCACTTCCTAGGATTAAAGGCTCGCTTTCTGGGATTAAAGGCATGTGTCACCATGCCTGGCCATTTCCAATGTGGCCTTGAACTCACAGAGATCCAGAGGGATTTCTACCTCTAGAGTGCTAGGATTAAAGGTGTGAGTGCCACCATTTTCTAGCCTTTGTATCTAGTGGCTGTTCTGTCTCTGACCCTAGGTAAGTTTATTAGGGTGTAGCATGAATCTTAAAAGTTCTTATTAATAAAATCAAACCTGAGCCAGGTATTGGGGTGAACACTGGAAGATCAAAGAACCAGAACAAGCCACAGCTACCTCACCTGGCTGGATCCTCAGCTTGGTCTTGTTTCTTCAGACTGGAAGCCTCTGAGTCCTCATCCAGAATGGGTCTCAGTTGAACTACTGCTCAAAAGCCTGAATGCTTAACCAGGCCAAATGCTTAACCAGGCCAAAATGCTTCTAGTTTCTGGTCCTCATGCCTTATATACCTTTCTGCTTTCTACCACCACTCCCTGGGATTAAAGGCTCACTTTCTGGGATTAAAGGCAGGAGTCACCACACTTGGCTGTATCCTTGGACAAATAGATTTCTGTCTCTAGAATGCTAGGATTAAAGGCGTGTGCTACCACTGCCTAACTTAAGTATCTAGTGGCTGTTCTGTCTCTGACCCCAGTTAAGTTTATTAGGGTGCACAATATTTTGGGGAACACAATACCACCATATTAGGGTATACAATATTTTGGGGAACACAATACCACCATACCACACAGCACCTTAACCAATTCAGCTTCCCCTTCAGTCCTTCCAAGATTTTGTTTTTTAAATTATTATTTAACTTTATAAATCCATCTAGGTTCCTGAAGCCAACTGCCTGCAGTTGCCTACCCAAGGTACTGACTTAACCCTGTGCTTGGCAGACATGTCCAGAATTACTTTTGCATGGTACTGGAGCTGCTTTTATGTATTTTTCTTCAGCAGCCTTGAGCTGACAGCCAAAACTGTTGTTGACTATGGATTTCTCCTTTTCAATTTAAAGGTAAGGCTGTGTGCTTTGGTGAGGAGAAACAAGTATTAAAACAGAACTGCAGAAACACTGTTGAATTGATGGGGCCACCAGAGATCACCGCACTCAAAATCCTCAATTTAGCAAGAAGACAAAAAGACGTCCAAAAAGATTACATCCACAGCAGAGCAGGGCTTAGACTAAATTCCCAGACTTCCATCCATCACTCTCCTTTTATCATATGCTGCCGAGGGATATCATGATGGATGCTCCAAACCGAAGGCAAGACACAGCTCCTCTAAATTACCAACAAGTGCCTTTGGCTTGGACACAAAAATGAAACCCCAGTCTGTTTTTAACAATTAACTTTACTAATATGAACACACACACACACACACACACACACACAAAACAGTAGAACTCAAAATTCTAAATGAGTAGAATTTTGTATAGTTG